AAAAATTATTGGGTCTTTTTCATTTCTCCCAATTGATGATAATATGATATACTGTCAAAGATTTGAAAGATAATTAATTTTTTGGTTGTTTCTATGTAAATATTACCTACCGAATAGTGAGTACTGAGTTTGCACACTCTTTTATAATTTGATATAAAGTGTAGATAATTTAGTATTAGCACTTTCATGTCGCCAATTTTTCATAACATATTGGCGTTTAAGTTGGTTTTTCTTATCCGCGTGGCTTTCAATTTGTTAAACATCTTGACTGGCACCCTCCTCTCCCCAAACCCCCCACCACCACCGCCAACACCAAAAAAAAAGAAAAAAGAAAAAAAGAGATTCATCTATGTATGTAAATGTTGTTTGGACTTCTGTTACAACATTAATATGGAGTTTATGTAACGCATGCCAATTATGACTCAGTACTGCTGAACTTGGTTACATTTAGTTATATCTTCTAGTTTTTTTTTTCCTTCTCTCCAGCTAATTCTTTTTTATCTAAGTAATACTTCATTTTCTTTGCAGATAAAGCTAATCGAAAAGATCAGAGATTACCATCGCCTAGGTATGAATTCCAATTCAAACATATATACATATACTTATGAACTTTTACCTTCACAGATATCATGCTTAATTTTTTTCTTAAGATGTTGAACTTCATTCAGAGAGATCTTTTAGGCTATCATAGTTAGTAATATGAAATATCTGTAAACCTTCTTAGGTTGTTATACCTTGAAAATACAGTGAAAGATATTTACTCTGTTCATGTTGACTATTTATTATATCAAGGTAACTTTTGGGTGGGTGCACACTTTAGTATATTGGATTCTTGATTATTTGCTTGTGCTTCATTATTATTAGTTGGCAGGTTATTATGCACCTCAGTGACCTCACATGATTATTTGAGGACTACAGTATAATCCGAGAGACAATTATGTCCGAACAAAACAAAATTTGATCAATACAGCAATACCAAACTCCACTAATGGTAAAAGTATATAAAACTAGTAATAACTGTGATCAAAGATCAATTTAATTAAAAACAAACTGTGGATAAATTTGAAGCCGATTTAGTTCTGCACTTCGTGACAGACAAAAGAATAATCCATAACTTAATGTTATGGTCTTCAGGATGATCAGATTTACGGTTTAAAATAAAGTTACAGTTTAAATGAAAGATTTGACCTAAGATCAAGTATGCTACATCCTGAGCTCCTACAAACTGAACGATAGCAGATTAATGTGTGGTTACCTTCTACGTTTAGGAATTTGAATAAATGTCATGGAAAGCAGGATGTTGTTCATCTACCCGGGGAGCATACTGGATAAGCACTTCAAATGGCCCACACACTCCCATTGCCTCTGGAAATAGATATAAAGTGAAACTATAGTTATAACTTGTACCCATTTTTTTAAGGAAAAAAATTCAGGTTGAAAGATCTGAAACTTGTGAAGTGGAAATGAAAACTTCCTTTATGTTTTATTATAACTAAACAAGTCAGAATAAGGTAAAAGTTGAGGTAATAACAAGAAAACAGGGTGATAAACTACGTTGAAAGCTAGAGTATATCAGCATCAAGTAACAACTTATACTCCATAAACAAGGAAATATCATTTCAGAAACAAGATGTAACCATAATGACATGTAAAGAGGTGATGTGCAAATGTGTAAGAGGAAACTTAAAAGGAGAAAGTAGGAGTTAAAACACTCTAGGTTAGGTATATATTTTACTCACGTTTGGATAAGAAGAGAAGAGGAGAAGAGAAAAAAATGTTCCTAGGGGTGTGTGTTTAGGTTAATTGAGTAGATTTTTGATGGGAAACTTGTGAGCATGAACGTTTCCAGCCACAGATGTTTGCTGCATTTGTTGAATATGATTTGATGTGCACAGCCTGGTGAAATATATGGTGCTTTTTGGCCACGGCATATGCATGTGTGCCTGCATGTTCTCTTGTATGAAAGTTGTGAAACCAGTGTTTTATAAGGACCAGCCTGGCATTTGTGGGGGTCAAGGATGTGAAATCAGTTTACTAAGATCAGCCTGGCATGAGCCTAGGTGCTGAGCTGTGTTGGCTCGTCTAATCTTCAACTACAGCTCTGTCAACTTGTGTTGTTCTGTGTCATTATTGCCGCGTGTAAAGTCAGGCCGAGGCAGTGTTGAAAAAGTGGCCGAGGCACCTGCGTGAAGCTTCCTGGGAGGAAGCAACACGCGGGCTATAACAGTTAGGGTTGACACCCTTAATAGGTGCTTCATGATTAAACCCAAAAAATAAAAAATAAAAGAAGAAGAAGAAGAAGAAGGGATAATATAGTAGTTATATATGCCTGCATCTATCAGAGACCATGCCGCCTCTTCAGTGGTCCGATGCTGCTTGTGAGGCCTTGCTGCTGCTGCTATGTGCCATCTTCAATAAGAAAGCATGAATCAGTTAGGGCATCAATAACTGACTCTCTGAAGCCAGTCAAGTTCGTTCAGCTCAGTATAGATGAGTTAGGGCTAGATGCCTAATCTATTCCACATTTTCTCATGATGGACATGATATTGGCATGGCGAGGCAATAAAGCTACAATGGGTGATTGGAGAAGATTGTTGGGATTGGAGATTGCACTGGGATATGGTGGCAACAACATAGGGTGTACAAAGCCGAAAATATTAATTTCAACTGAAAGGGGAGGGGAGATTCTTCTACATAGGCCACTAGTCCTGGGCCCAGTAACATCCAAGTATCCAACACTTTCTATAAAATTGGGTTTCGGTTTTAGAGGTGGAGAGTTGGGCAAAGAGGTTCACGAGCAATACTAGGACCGGCAAGGTTTGTAAGTTAAACGCATATAAGATGTAAACGAACCAAACCTGGTTTTTTAACTTCAGTTTTTAAAGTATGTTTGTTTGGTTAAATTGGTTTATATGTAAGCCATTACCTCACTTCTGAAGTGTTAAATTGCATGAACGCTAGTAATTTTCTAGATATTTAACTAAACCGTGGTTCTTCCGTATGTGGACAATAGTTTTCGTTGTGTCAACACTATTTGTTTGCATTAGAGGGAAACACTTCTTTCTGTATCAACAAATCATTGGGGGAAAAAAATTAATCCTCATCCTTGTCCCCTTTCATCTTGTTTTTCTACTCCAACTTCGCAGCAGTAGTCAAAAATAATGTTGCCTAATGCATAGTAGAAAGGAAAAGGAGGCATGTTATGACTATTCTCTTAGGCATCCTTTCAGGTAAATTCAGCGGACCTTGTATGTTAGTTGTTGGCCTGCATTATTCTGCTTTCTAGTATCTTCGTTAGACATCAATGTGAGTAGGCATGCAGGGTAGTCAGAAAGTATTCAACTTTCAACAAGTAAATGTTGATGTTAATTAAGGTTGAGGATTTTACCTGTATGTCGACTTTCCTATACGTGGCCTCAGAAACTTACTAGTGTGTTTAGTGTGTATTGTTCTTTTACTCTATTATACAACTCATAATATTTGTGCCATTTTGTATATATGAGCTGCTGCTAGAGTTTCATGTCTATTGCCCCAAATGATGCTGTGCAGGAGCAATGATGAGGATACTAAGTACAAAGCATCCAAGGTTGAAAAGCTCTCTATGAAGAAAAAGGGCATGGGCTCAGAAGGTAGGGCTGAACATATGGCTAAGGCAGACACTGACCTGCAGCTACTGAGTAAGGCTGACAAAGAGAGGCAGCTACATAAACTGAAGAAGCGCCGGCTTCATGGTCGTGAAGAAGACGTATGTTAAAAACTCTCATATATCATATTTGATCCTAAGAATTCTTCGGGCAGACATGAAAGGCATTGTCCTTTCTGTCTATTGTTTTATTTTTATGTCATTGAATTTTTTTTCAATGTTGCGAAAAGTTTTTCCTTCATAAATGTATTATTTACAGATCACACTGCTCACTTCATTTTGTGGTAGATCCATTTTATTCATGGGTTTTCTTTTGGCAGACATTAGCAAGGCTGGAAAAATTCAAAAACTCTATCTCAAAGAAGATCGATGTGTCCGCTAGTAGTAATTCTAAGGGAAATGATGAAGACGATGAGTCAGGATGGATATCCAATCGCTTGACGTTTGTTCGCGATCATTCTGGAAAGGTACATGGTTATCCTATTGTATTTCCTTATTGTGAGAAGCTCTTGTTGCCATGTTACTCATTTTTGAATAATATCTTGCAGGATGACATGACTAGGAGGGATGATCCAAATGAATATGTAGTACTCGACCCTCTTTTGGAGAAAGGTAAAGAAAAATTCAATAAGATGCAAGCCAAGCTTAAGCGGCGAGACCGGGAATGGGCTGGGAGATCCTTGACTTGACTGTTTAACCTGAGAAGGCTTCATATAATGTCTTCACCCTTGGTAATTATTATATCCGTATGTGATTTCTTGTTAGTTGTTTCTCATGTGCAAATACAGTTGCAAATCCTTAGCTGTTCAACCAGACACTTTGAGGAATGATATATTGAAATCTTATATCAAACACCATCTCCTGAAGTCCATTCTGCGCTACATTCTCATGCCAAAAATAAAAATAAAAATTAATAATAATTAATAAACTGACAGTAGTGACATAGCTTTACATAAAACTTTTAGGTTGATTCGATGACTTCTTTTTATCCAATGAGATCTATAGAGGCCACCTTCTCTGCTAAATGAACAGCTGGAGTGTCTTCTGTTATTGCCTCAACCCAAGGTCATTTAGGTCTATTCTTGTCCTTGTTGCTTTACTAATTATAACCCTGTTATAAACGTTTTGATTTGCATTGTACCTCCCCAAGTATTTTGCTTATTTTGTCATTCACTTCAGGGCTTGATCATATTCCACATTCTGTGCATCTTTGGACTCCAAAAAAAGGTTGGTGATATGGAAAGGAGCCTGGGGGGTCTGTCATTTAGTATGCTTCTTAGTATGTATGACAATAGTGAATTATTTTTCATCAGGGTTTACCTTTTCCTGGTGATGACAATTAATTGAACCACATATAGTTGCGAAGCCTAGTGCGGTAAATGCATGAAATGTGAAAATATCTTAGGTGTTAATTGTAGTTCTGAGTTCTGACTTGTATGGTTGTTGTTTCATGCAGAGGGCTCTGTATCTGCTGGGCCAATTTCATCAGGCAGTGCTCGACTCCCATGTATTGTCATGAAATACAACTAACAGGAATCCCGATCCTCTCGGTTTAAAGAATTATTCTTTAAAATTTGTACATGCGAAGATAAACAGAGCCCTTTTTACCTAGACAACGTGCATGCTGTACGAGTGGAGCACAAATTTTATCTGAACACCAGCGTACAAGAGGTGGTATTAGAAATCCACGGGAGGATGGAGGGAGAGCATAGAAAATTTTAACGGTTGACTTTTTATGATTCAGAAGACCCTACTCCTAGAACAGGGAGCGAGCTAACTTGAACAATGTCAGGACGGTTAAATTTTCAGCTTTTTTTTTTTCTTTTTCGGTTTATTGTATCTGACTATGAGGTGTCTATAGCATATGCCTTTTCCCCCATCAAGGTAGAGGAGGTCATCGACGGATTTCTGATTTCAAACAGTGGGATGATTCAAGTCTCAAATTGGACATCGTACGATGAATAAACCTCCTAATTATAAGAAAGTTCGGCTACAGATGATCAGTTCTTTCTATTTTGACCAGAAAATTGATCAGTGCAGCCATAGCCGGTTGAAGGGTGCTTTGTATTTGTCGGCGGCAAAAGGTTACAGATCTTCCTACCTTCTCGTGAAATATGTATGGGATAAAAATACATTCATTCCTCCATACGAGTACTTCACTCTTACAGCACTCCTGAAAGTAGTGAAGGGTTTCCGCTACCTTCCTTTCTCCCCTATCTATCCCCCTTCATTACATTTAAATAGGGTGTTAAACTCTGATTTTAGTTGACTGATACTTATTAAACTATAAAGAAGAGCGCTTGATGATATAAAACGACTATTGTTAAAAAAAAAGCTCAAATTGCGGACAATTCCCTTCATCTACTACTAAAGCTTATTGTCTCAACTGATTTTTGAGCATGCATCATCTCTGAACAAGTAACGAGTAAGTTTTGGGGATGATAAAGTTGATGAGATTATCTGTAACTTACTTATAGAGAAGGAGAATTTTTTAAAGATGACCATTTTTGAAAATTATTAGCAAAATCGATCTCTTTCTTAAAAGGACAAATTTTCAAAACCAACCCGTTTGGAAGCTTAACTGCTAAAAACAATCTATTTTCAATTTATTTACCAAATTCGAACCAGTTTCAGCCAGCTGGCTGAAACTGGGTCGAATTTGGCGGAAAAAAGTTACAAAACTTCACGGGACCTCAAGTTCCATGAAGTTTCAGGCAGAATGTCCAGAGAGCATTGCTCTTTGGAAATTCAGCTTGCAACTCCATGGGACTTGAAGTCCTGTGGAGTTGCTGGTTTTAAAAAAACATGCACAGAATGTGTGCATATTTTTTATATACATAAAAACAATTTTCCAACAATATATACACATATTTCCGTCTCATTCACAACAATATACATCAAAATTCTATATTGTTAGTTCCTCTCGTATTCAATAATTCCATATTATTCACTCAAATCTTTAAAATAGCTAATACTTCCCTCAAGTTGTATAAGCATATGAGGGGTGTTTTGGTCAATAAGGGACCAAATTGTATGAACCCTTCGGAATCGAGGAGCATATGAGCAATTTCAAAGATATGAGGGGCCAATGTAAAATTATTGAAGATTTAAGAAACGAACATCTAAATCACCGCAATAAATGGCAATCACAGGGGTTCATCCACATAAATTCAAGCTGATTAATTCTGGCTCCTCGAGAAGAATAGTACTCTATTCTTCTACTACACGTTTCTCTAGTTCTCAACACCCAAGTCAAAAGGAATCAGCCAAGGTACGATTATTGCCCCCCACATGTTCGATAACATGCTTCAATGGGAATTTTTGTTCGCAGTTTGACGTTGACGAGCTCGATTCTTCTTCTTGTATGCCATAGAATTCAATTACTTTGATATGTTTATTTGGAACTAGCTATGTTTGTTGAAACTTTTGCACAACCATCACCATCAAAACTTCTAGTTTACGCAACCCTAATCCTCCTGTTGTGCAATCATACCTTCTCCCTGAGGCATCCAGTGCTCACCAATGTCACAGATTGGCGAGCCCTTTTGTCCATCAAATCCGCGATATCGACGAACCCCGAGGGGTCTTTGCCCTACTGGAATAACTCGGTCCACTACTGTCGGTGCCGACATCCTCAGAGGGTCATCTTCTTGGAATTGGAAACCCTGGGTCTGGATGGTTTCATATCCGCTGCCATAGCCAACCTTACTTTTTTAAGGAAAATTGATCTCTCTGGTAACCAAATTAATGGACTGATACCTCACGAGATTGGTCGACTGCGTGGCTTGAGATATCTCAATCTGAGTATGAATTCTCTCGGGGGGAGTGTCCCTTCTTCGGTTTCTCATTGTTCGAGATTGCAGGTTATCGGTTTGAGTAGCAACATGCTCGAGGGTGAAATCCCCTCGGTTCTTGGAAACTGTTTAGACCTACGGATTTTGTCCCTGTCAAACAATCATCTTGAAGGGAAAATACCGCTTTCATTAACAAACCTCTCCTTTCTTGATGTTTTGTGCCTTGGCAGCAATGATCTTAGTGGAGAAATACCATCTTTGATGGGTAAACTGTACAGACTGACGGAGCTTGATTTGTCTGGCAATCGCCTCACTGGATTTATACCGGCTTCGTTATGGAATTTATCAGCCCTTTCTCAGCTCAATGTGGCAGATAATTACCTTTTGGGTGTTCTTCCAACAAATGCTGGTTATTCTCTTACATTGCTTCGGAAGATTTACGTGTATAACAATCGATTTCATGGACCCATACCTATGTCATTGTTCAATGCATCTACTCTTGAAGTCGTAGACTTCTCGAGCAATAGGTTTATTGGTGAAATCCCTCAAAATCTGGGTGGCTTACGAAAACTACGATGGTTGAATCTATTGGATAATCAGTTAGAACTTAGAAAAGATGAAGGATGGAGCTTTTTGACTGGTTTGTGCAATTGTACCAATTTAGAGAAATTGCAACTGGGCTCGAATAGCCTTGGAGGTCTGCTTCCTAATTCTATTGCAAACTTGTCCACCAAGCTCCAGATACTCTCTATGTCGGATAACGAAATCTCTGGGAATATCTTTCATGAGATTGGGAACCTCGTAAGCTTGACAGTGTTTGACATGGGTCAGAACTTGCTCAGAGGTTCAATCCCTGCACCAATAGGATTGCTTACGAACTTGCATGTACTAGATTTAGGCACCAACAAGCTATCTGGGGAAGTCCCATCCACCCTTGGCAATCTTACTCTACTGAATTCTCTTCATTTGGGGTCTAATGAATTAAGCGGAATGATACCACCTAATCTGGGAAATTGCCAAAACTTAATTTCCTTAAACCTGTCGAATAATAAACTTACTGGTGGCATACCTAAGGAAATCCTTACCATATCAACACTGTCGATATATCTCGACTTGGCAAGAAATTCATTAACAGGGTCATTACCAGCGGAAGTAGGGAGCTTGAAGAATTTGGGGGAAATTGACTTCAGTAGGAACAATTTGTCAGGGGAACTCCCAAGCAGTCTTGGTAAATGTCAGGTGCTGAAGAACCTTCGCATTAGTAACAACTTCATACATGGGAATATCTCGTTGGCTTTGAGTACATTACGAGGCATGCAAGAGTTGGATCTTTCACAAAACAACTTGTCAGGGCAAATACCATATGTTTTACAGGACTTCCCCTTTCTATATTATATCAACCTATCATACAATAATTTTGAGGGTGAAGTTCCAAGGAATGGAGTCTTTGCAAATGCAAGTGCAGTATCGGTCCTTGGCAACAATAACCTCTGTGGAGGGAACTCAATGTTACAGCTGCCACCTTGCACATTTCAGTCTACTTGGAAAAAGTATTGGTTTGCTACACTTTCACTAATCATTGCCTTTGGTATTATAGGTGTATGTTTGTTCCTAATTTTCTGCTGGATGCAAACTCCACGAAAAGAACCTATTAATATAGAATCTATATATGTACAAGGAAGAATATCTTATGCTAAACTTATGAGAGCTACAAATGGATTCTCTGCAGACAATTTAATTGGACTGGGCAGTTTTGGTGCAGTCTATAGAGGAAAAATAGATGATGATGATAAGGATAGCATGTTTAGGGGGATGCAGATTGCTGTCAAGGTACTTAACCTGCAACAACATGGAGCTTCCAAGAGTTTTACGACGGAATGTGATGTTTTGAAAAACATGATTCACCGAAATATCATCAAGATCTTAACAACATGTTCAGGTGTTGATTCCATGGGCAATGATTTCAAGGCAATTGTTTATGAGTTCATGGCTAATGGCAGTTTAGAAAGTTGGTTGCATCCCGATGTCAATGAGCAAGGTGAGACTAAGAAATTGAATTTTCTGCAGAGGATTAACATAGCCATTGATGTGGCCTCTGGACTGTATCGTCTCCACAAAGGTGGTGAGAAACCCATTATTCATTGTGACATTAAGCCAAGCAACATTCTCCTAGATGAGGACATGGCTGCCTGTGTGAGTGACTTAGGGCTTGCCAGAGGTCCTGTGGAAGCTCTGGTCAGAACGTCTTTGCATACAATCAACTCGTATGGTTTTAAAGGAACCATTGGATATGTTGCTCCAGGTGAAAAACTATGCACCATCTTATTTTTTGTGCTTCTATTCACATAAACGTTTACAAAATGGTAATAATGATCCATGAGTTTAATCGTTCATTTTTTTTATTGAATATTCAAGATCAATTTTTCCAAAGGATTAATAATTGGGTAATTTACCCTGAACACTCATGAACTTTCAACATTTTGCAGTAAAAATCACACTAAATCCCCCCTCCCAAAAAAAAACTTTCTGCTTTGCAGCAACCCTCAACAAGTTTCTGCTTTTTGCAAATAACCCCCATAAATTAGAACCAGAAAATAACATAAAAAGAGATTTTGATAAGTTAGTGGAGGTTTATTGTAATTTACCCAAAAGAAGGAAGGAAAAAAAAAACCAAACACACACATACAGAGGGAAGAAGGCTCTACTGTATGGTACATGTTGTCAATTTGAATCATTTGTCCTGATATATACCAAGGAATGAAGTTCAAAATTAAGCTGATTTTCCTCGACAAAAAAAAAGGAAAAAAAAGTAAGCTGATGGATTTACCATATTGTGCATGTTGTCAGCTTGAATCATTTGTCATGTTTTCATGAAGTGAAAAGAATCATATTTTATTAGTAATTTTTGCTCCTGGAGTTGCTCTGACACAATATGTGCCATTGATACACATACCACACACAAATATAGATATACAACATGGACACCCACAATTTTGGCATATGGTGCTCTATGATCATATATTCACATCTCAAATGCATAAACGAAAGCATTCTAAGCATCTGGAATACTTGACCCTAAAATCAAGAAAATGAAAAATTGTTGAGTGGGAACTGATTTTTTTATTAGTGGAGCATAATGGCTAGATCCATGGGTATGCATTTTAAGTCTCATGATTTTTCGTCTATATACAACTTAGGGGATGAATATCATAGGAAGTCGTGTAATTGAACAACCGAGATTGTAACAGGGTTTTAGATGTTTTATATAAAATTTTTGATTTTGTCTGCTGATACCTTTACATGCAAACCGATACACACATATGTGTGCATGTAAGAACACACTTATATATACATGTAAGATAAATTGGCTCAGGTTACTATCTAGAGCGTTACGATATTCTCGGGGACCACCCCAATGAAGAATGTGCATCTATTATTATGATATTTATACCAGAATTTTCGTGTATAAAAAATGATGCAATTTTGACATTGTTTATTCATTCATCCGTTAAGCTTACACAAAATGAAAGCTTTTCTTTTTCGATAATGTGGCAAATAACACAATTTGATTAATGATGTAACGCCGTAAAGATATTCAAATTACACGATCATTGCCTTTCTCTGATGTTGCTTCCCTTGGTAATCTCTCCTTTGCTGGTAATCTCTCCTTCGCTGCCACTTCCCTTGGTTGTTGCCTTCCTCTGTTGTCGCTTCACTCCGCCAAAGATGCCTCTGCCAAACTCCCTTCGCCTCTCCTCCCTTTAGGCCCTCTGGAGTGGGACGGTGATGGGCCCAAAGGGAGCAGAGGTGAAGGAAGGCAGGCGCGATGATGGAGAAGAGGTTACCAACCTCACTACAGGTAACAGAACTCTACTCAAAAGTAACAAATAATAGGTGTGGTTACGGGTACGTGACACGACAAATTTGTAAAATTGTAGGATACAAGGACATGACTATATATATATATATAGAGAGAGAGAGAGAGCAATTCTTATGTCAACTTAAGTGGATAGCAAAAAGCTATCCACCAAACTTTTTAGCCACTCATATTGTCTAGGGATCCTTGCATGATATGAAAAGGTTTTTTATATTAATAAATGAGTGGTTAGAAAGTTTGGTGGACATCAACTTAAGTTGATAGGAGTCTTACTAATATATATATATTCAGGACTGGGAAGTTCGTCAGCGTAGAAATCACTCTAGTCTATAACATTTTGTACGCAATACATGCATCTAAAAAGTGCCCATCATCATCGGAGGGAAATTGGAGCGTCCATCACGGTTAATATTTTAAACATATAACAAAAGGAATATTAATTTTTATCAACTTAAATTATAAATTGAATTTTTATATAATAAAAATTGAACTACCACAATTGAACCGATAACCGGGGCAACTTTATTAAGATCTGAGTAAATTAAACCCGACGAAAAAGAGGAAGATCCGAACAAGTTGGAATTTGGATTTTATGTGAATTCTATTTGTACAGTGTGGACGTGTATGGTTCCGCTTTTGGTTCAAAAATAAACCAGGCCTTGGTTTTTTTTTTTTTAGTCCTAAATGGACTGTATATTTTAGGAACCTTTTCCGTCCATTTAGGCTGAACTAGATATGGAACCGTACAAGGGCCAATTCCACATTTAATTACTCTTGGGAATAGGTCGAAACTAAGAAAACTCGAGGATTCGGCCCATTAGTCCAAGTTGTAGGCCCAGCAGCCGCGCTCTTCCTCCGGCAGCCAACTAACACTAGTGGAAATTACTGCTGGATTTTTTTTTTTTGGGTACAGTTACTGCTGTAATTTATGACACTGTTACTTCTACTCTTTCTCCTTTTATTTGTACTTTTTATTTTGGTACTTATAAATGCGGTCAATGACAAACAATAGATTAGTGTATTTGTCAAATTTCACTAACGGATACGTATGGTTGGGCAAGCGGGGCCTTCCTATTGGAGGACGATCCATGACGGACTAATGCTATGTTCAAACAACTAACAGGTAAAAACAAACTCTTGAGTCAGCGCTAGCCATAAAGTATGAGCGTGAACTAGTCTCATCTATAACAAGGTGTGGAGATGCCTCGTGACAAACTCAAAAAAATAAAAAAAAATTAACTAACAGACTGTATAAATGATATCTTGTTTAAGAGGAACATCATGAGTGTTTCTTTCATTCTTTTACTATTGGTGTGTACGTGCGCGCGCGCACACATATATATGTAAAAACTATGTTCTCTTATTTTTAATATAATTTTGATAGTACATCTTGCCCTATTTTCGCTTTTAAAAAAACTCCCCTTCCCTTCCTCCCATCAAATAAGAAAACTCATATACCTGAAGAAACCGCGAAGAATTTCGAAGAAGAACAGGTGTTGGGATTCGCAGGAGTCACTTTGGAAGCTGCGCGATCGACCGCGGCGCAATGCCGGTCGACCGCGAACGTGCACAGACTCTGGGAGGAGTCTGGATTTGGCGCGGTCGACCACCGCGGTCGACCGCGAGACCCTGTGGGCGAATTTGGGCTCTGTCGTTTCTCACGGTCTGACCGCCAGACCCTGTAAGTGATTTCAGGTTTTGTTTGTTGATCGCGGTCGACTGTGGCGGTCGACCGCGTAACGGGTCAGGCCCAGAATTGTTTTCCTGTTCTTATTGGGTTTTGGTGTTTGTATAAATACCAATACACGTTATATTGTTTCTTTGGCTTTGTTTGGAGATTGGTTGGGAATATTTGGAGCACAGAAAAATGAGAGTTTTTCTAAGCAATTGTTTGAGGATTTATCTGAAGAGATTAAGAGATTTATTGGTAAGATTAGTTGATTGCTTTGAGCATTTTGTAATCTAAGTTTTTACTCTTCTTCTCTATTAGTGAAAACCCAATCCCCTTCTTGCCCCGTGGACGTAGGTAATTTGTCGAACCACGTAAATCTATTGTGTTTGGATTTATGTCGTTGTTGTTTTTTATTTGTTTGGCCTTTATCTCGACGTTTGTTTGATTTGGTTCTCGAAGCACGCCCGTTTGGTTGTCTCACTTCTGCGCTGCGCACAACAATTGGTATTAGAGCTCCAGATTCCAGATCTAGGGTTTTGTGTTGGTTGGAGGAGTAGATCAATTTGGAAGTTTGGTTAGGGCTTCGTTTGGTGAGAAAGGTGGGATCTTTTTGGTAAAGAGACTATCTTTTTCAGTTTGGATCTATTCTCCATTTGATCTGCATTGGTTTGTTAGTGCTTGGGCTATTTGGAGAAGTAGATTGCTTTGGAGGCTCTTCGAGGGCTTTGTTTAGAGATAAAGGTGAGATTTTTCCTATTTGTGGATCTCGTTGTTGTCGTGCGTAGGGGTGCAAACTGGTCTGGATTTATCTGGACCGACCGCAACCGTATCCGTTTGGAAAGCGGATATGGTAAGGAAAAATTAAAACCGGTCGGATATGGTTTCGGAAACGGTTACGATTTAGATTTTTTATCCGGATACTGTTCGGATACGGTTATCGGGTCGAAATTACGGATACGGTCCGGATATCCGGATATTTGAAATGGGTTATATATATAACACTGGTTTATAAATTATAACACATTGGGTTGGGTCAAACTCAAAATCCACAACCCGACCTGTTTAAAACTCAAAAAACCCTACCAATTCCCAAACCCTATCTGCTCAAAAATCTCAACTCAACCTGTTCCTCCGCCTCCCCAATTCCCAAAACCTTAAGCAGCTCTGATCCTCCGTGTCAGGCTCCGCCTCCAGAGATCCGCGTCGTGCTCCGCCTCCACGTCGAGCTCTGCATCGTTCTCCGCCTCCGCGTCGAGCTCTGCGTCGTGCTCCGCCTCCGCGTCGTGCTCCGCGTCGTGCTCCGCCTCCTCCTCCGCATCGAGCTCCGCCTCCAGAGATCTGCGTCGTGCTCCGCGTCGTGCTCCGCGTCGAGCTCTGCGTCGTGCTCCGCCTCCGCGTCGTGCTCCGCGTCATTAAAAAACCCACAGTTCAAGCCCTAATTTGGTATAATTCAAAAACCCTAAGCCCTAATTTTTTTGATATCCTAATTTCTAGCATTTGTTGAGTGATTTGAAAAACCCACAGTTCAAGCATTTGTTGTAATTTGCATCATTATATTTTTTTGTTTGATTAAGTTCATAAATTTCAATGAATAGGTATTAGAATCATGATATTCAATATTTTTTATTTTTTGTTTAGGGCCTGCTATGGTGTTCTGAGGTTTGTCATACAAAATAGCAACAAAGTCTATGAGGTAACTTGTCTTACTTGTTTACTTTGCGAGTTATTAAAATCATATGTATTTTTTGTCATATCCTAGTCATATCTATTTCCCAAATATCAGTTTAGTATCTGTATCCGAACTGTATCTGTCTCTCTAATATCCGAACCATATCCGTTTTCATTTAATGTGGATATGGTAATGTTTTTTTCTTACCGATGAATATCCGAACCGTATCTGTATCCGTTTTTAGAAAGTGGTTATGGTTATGGTAATGGTAATATCCAAGCTGTATCCGAACTGAATGCACCCCTAGTCGTGCGGGGTGAGATCGTTTGGAGACTCTTGTTAGGGTTTCAATTGGAGGTAAAATTCTCTCCTTTATCAGTTTGGATCTATTTTTCATTTGTTGGTGCTTTGAGATAGTTGGCCGAGATAGAAGGATTTGAGGCTGAGTTATTTGTTTGTTGATACGATGCATTGGATTATTGAGAAGTGCTATTGACCTGCATATTGAAGTCCTTTGAGCACGTTGGTATGAGCAAGGAGACCGAGATGGAGTTCGGCACTTCTATTTGATGATTGAGTGGTCTTATATTTGGTGTTCATTCAGGCATTCGGGGGCCTTCCAAGGAGGCATCATTGGAAGGTAAATTGGTATTTTGGTTTCCTATGTTGGGGATTGTACTAGGCATTTATGGGTTGCAATCAAGTCCTGTTGGTTTTGAAGTTCTAGTAGTCAACAACAGTTGAAGAAGTGTGTTGGCAGAAAGTGAAGGTACTTCAGTCTGATTTTAGTGGGAGGTACAAGAGGGACCTATTTCTGCGTTTGTGCCGAGCTCACGACAATTAGAGACACTTCACTGGTGTGGAAATATTTGGGGCGACGAGATGAGATGACAATTGTGATTGGTCGTTCCTTTCTGAAGGAGGATTGGCGTTGGTTGTCGAACATTGGTTCTAGTTTTGGAGGTTCGACATATTTGGGTCATCTTAGTCATAGGTCGCCGACTGTTGCATTTGGAGATTTTAGATCTAGTGGAGCTGCTTCAGATTTTGGTTAGCGTCGGATATTTGGTTATCCAGCATTTGGTCACATCGAGGATGTGAGATTTGATCCGATTGCACGTTTGGGATTCGGAGGCTCATTTGATTATTGTTTGGGAGCTTCTGATTTTGTTCTGAGCAGGAATATCACTTTTGACTCTCAGCAGAAGAAGAGTGTTGATCAGGTCATTTGGATATCACAGCAGGTGGAGGGTGATGCTCCTTCACGTTGGTGTAGGTGTCAAAAAATGCTAATAGGTATCCCAAACATAGAGAAGATCACTCAAAAAATCACAAGAATTGATCTCATACTGTTTTTGGAAAATCAAGACAGGTATAAACTGTCTCATAAGCGAGACAGACTTTGCTGTCTCGCCAGCGAGACAGACTTTGCTGTCTCGCCAGCGAGACAGACTTTGCTGTCTTGCCAGCAAGACAGTGTTGAAATGGTCAAAAACCACCTTGATAACTACCCTACACGTGTCCATTAACTGCCAAGGGACGTGGGAAACATCGTGGGCGAAAATCACGTGAATAACTGCCAAAATAACGGAGTTTGAAACGTGGGAAGGCAGTTAAAAAGAAAACTGCCAGGAATATTCTTTTTCCGAGACAGCATTTACTGTCTCGCGGGCCGAGACAGCAAACACTGTCTCGCCCGCCGAGACAGTAAAATATCGTTTTAAATTC